ATGAACAAATTCCATGCATTTCATGGGTTGTACCTCATGTAGGGCAGCAAAACAATGGGGAGGAAGTGAAAAATTAAAAAAAAAAAAAAAAAAAAGATTTAATTCAGCTAAAACTTCCCAAGTGTAAAAGTCTACTACTGTGACATCATTCTCCTCCCGCCGCCCCATTCACGGGGGCATAAGACATAGAGGAGAAATAATGTTGAGCAGGGACTGAGGAGGTCTCTGTCTTTTTAAGATTATTTCTTGCAATCATCCCTTCATCTTCTATGCTTCCACTTAATGCTGGTAGACATCATGGTGACTGTGATTTCCACGTTCCTGATTCCTCAAAATGGCAAACCTACAGCAGAAGAGCATTTTTCTTTTTTTCAAGACTTCAGCAATTGGGGAAAATTGATTTGGAAGGGAAAATGTTCAGAATGAGGGTTTTCTGGAACTTCAGAAAACCAAAATGAAGAAAAAGAGAGAAGCAAAATGAGAGTTCATAAGCTACTTTTGTTTTAGAAATCTAGAATTCATCTAAAATATTAATCTACCATGCTGTAGAGCTTTGTTTCACCTTGTTTCATTTCCCAATGTAATGTGGGTAAAAGGGAACCATTTCAGACTGGAATCTCACCAGACAGGGCTGTTCGGCAGACCATGTGTGTATAGGAAAAATACAGAGTTGAGTTCAGCATAAAATAAGATTCTACAATCCTTCGAGCCTTTTCACTGATGTCATAAAACAGACGAGCGCTCTTCAGTGGGACTCGACCTTCATAACCAGACTAAAAAAAAAAAACATGAGAAACAAATGGGTTCATTGGAGGATGTAAGAAAAACAGGCACTACATTGCATTGAGCCAACACAGAATTATCATGTCTGCACTGACTAATGGGAAGACTACTACATGTTTGTGGATTTCGGTTAGGACATTGTGCCATTGGAATAAACTTCGCAATAGCAGATGGAAAGCTAAAAGCTGCTTGGTTCCTCTTCTCTTCTATTATAATATGTTCTACTGTCCTCTCTAACAACCCTTCCTGCAGTAGAGAATAATTACTTGTTTGAATATGTTTTCACTTTTAGATCATGATCTTACAAAGAAGGCTTGTATATTTTTTGTCAGGAAATCTAAAGTTTGATAAGTTGATGGCTGAATGGAGGAATGATTAAATACAATGAAGGTTCCATTTCACACTTGCTTTCTTCAACTGTTCTGATAGGTACATATTTGAAACTTTTTTCTTTCCTATATCTGCCATTTACAGAAGCCTTAGGCTGACACTAAGGAATTCAAACCCAAAAGAAGTTAAGACTTTACTTTGAGTGCTTTCAGGACAGTTGCACCTTCAAACTTTTCATTGGGTGTATGGGGTGAAGTTTTTCCTCTGTATCCATCACCAACAAGCATGATTCCCTGGAAGCAAATACAAGAAGATACTTCATCAATGATAACTATGAATTCATTGGGTCATTTTCTGCTTTGGTTGCCAGAAAGCTGAGAACTCTAGTCAATGCTAAGAACCATCTCCATTTTATTCCAAGATGCTGGTAACTATTTCTTTTAATTAAAAGAGACATCTTTATTTAATCTTCATTCTACATTTTTATTATCAAATACTATCACCTTTTATGGAAATAAAAAAAAAATGTAAATTACTGATATATTGGCTAATTCTTAATTAAAATAAAAGGATTTATCCAGCAACTTTATATGATGGGCAAGGACCTTGCTAGATGGCTGTTGGCCTAGGAAATATGCCAGTAGCTATTCCAGATCCCACCTGGGAGAACTAAAATAATCCCAACCCGAAGGCTATAAAAGTTCCTCAAAAATAATTTATGTCTTTCTCCGAAAGAAAGCAATATCTCAGGGCTTTTTCCTCGGCTCCAGATGAGACCAGGACCAAAGCAGTTCCAGCTTCTTGGCAGACCAGTGCAGTGAGCTCCCCTCCTTCTCCCAGTCCTCACAGTGGCCACACTGTGGAGCTCCCGGCACTGTTCTTCCGACAGGACATTATCCAGGAGAACCCGCTGAGTCCCATTCAGCTGCTCTGAGTTGTAGACGAATGTGATGTTTTCATAGAGCAGAGGACCACCTAAAGGAACAGAGCACATCGTCTTCCCTGTTACCTCTGTCCCCAGAAAGGAAGCACAGAATACCAAATAGCTTTCAATGTGCAATTCGAGTGAGTTCGTTTCCTCATGAATATTTAGAAATGCAAAGACAAATTGCAAATTAGGGAGCTTGATAAACACAATATAGATTCAGGAGAAAGGCAGATGTCTGACTATTAGGTTTCCTCATAATATCATAATAATATTACATGTGTACATTATTTGGGGAGAGATAGAACTATTTTTGCGTTTGTTTCTAATGCTGATCCCAAAAAGTCAACTGGGCATCTCATGGGACTCTCTTCTGAGAAAGCCCACCCTTGTTCACAGTCCCTCATTCATACCTCTGTCACAACACCATAGAGTGCATGTTTGGGTCCCCAGGTATAACATGCACACCTCAGTTTCACTGGTGTCTAGAGCAACACCTTCACCAGGTAATTCAGGTAGTCACACCCAAGTCAGGAGTCACTTGACGACTCCTCAGTCTTCTTCCCACCACATAACTGACCCTAGGTTGTCTTGCTTTTGGAGTGTTTTTCTCTGTTCTCTAGGCAAAATCTTCATGTTTCTATTTCCGCACAGGAGGGTTTCCTTTAGGCACCTACTCTCTTCCCAGAGAGAGACCACAAGTTTATAACATTAGCTCCAGATAGGCTCTTCAGAGGGTGATGCTTTTGGATCACATTTTAGGTTGTGAAATTACAAAATCCAGACCTGACAAAGTCCTTCTCTCATAGAGTAGGACTGAAGGACAAAGCCTGTGATAGAGAGGAAATCTCCTGATGTAGCATAGTGCAGACATTTTGAACCAGAAAATCGAACAGAAAAGAAAACACTGCTTCTAACCATTTAGCATACTCCCAAGGGGCCTGATGCGTGCTTGTCCATAGCAACAGCTCAAGATAAGGACAGTAGGGGTAGGGAAGGCACAACTCCCTGCCACCCCAGGTCTAGCAAAGGTCACCAACACATTGGCCTAAAACACTTCTGTTGGAGGAAGAAGAGACAATTGAAATTGATGTCTACTTTATCTCTATAAAACAGATTAGTCAGCCTAGGGAAGAGCACGAGCTAAATGTTTATTAGTCTAGCTAGGATAAAAGACTCACTACAGCTCATGATTAATGGAATATTAAAAGAATGAGGCAGTGTTTCTCAATCTGGAATAATGTTCATTTATCTGTTAAAGCAAAAGTTCCCTAAGGAGCTCCAGTGCTGACAAATTATTTTTACTCTAATTTTACTTCTATATACGCAATCATAAAACTATGTACGCATTATTTATTTTAGTAGTTTCATACAGTACCCAAACCAATTTATAAGACTAAATAAAAGCAAGACCATAAAATGAACTAAATTCCAATCAATAAATGAAATGGTTAATGTTATTTTTCTGAAAATAAAAAGCTACTTTCCACATGAATATTCTACTCACTGATCTGGTCTGGGTTCTTTTGAGCCAGGATTCCTTATAGTACTGTTGGTGTGTAATTACTATTCTACCACAACGTTTCTCTAGTTAAACTACTACACAATCTTAATGTACCATGATTAATTTTGGCCTTTGTATCAGTCCATTTTCTTGCTGCTAATAAAGACACACCCAAGAGTGGGTAATTATAAAGAAAAAGAGGTTTAATGGACTCACAGTTCCACATCTGGGGAGACCTCACAATCATAGCGGAAGGCAAAGAAGGAGAAAGTCATGTCTCACATGGTGGCAGGCAAGAGAGCTTGTGCAGGGAAACTCCCGTTTATCAAACTTTCAGATCTGGTGAGACTTATTCACTACCAGGAGAACAAACCACCCCCATGATTCAATTATCTCCACCTGGCCCTGCAGTTGCCCTGTGGGGATTATTACAATTCAAGGTGAGATTTGGGTGGGGACACAGCCAAACCATATCAGCTTTCACCTGAGCCTAATACATTATTTATAAGTTCATTGTATTTCATTTATTTCTAGTCTTTAATCACTGAAGTGTTATTAATTGGTGTCAATATGACCATGACTGTGCCCACTGAACTATGGAATCCCAGGATACCACCTGGCTAGAAGTTGATCCCTTACGTAACCCCTAATTGCTTCTCTTAATTTTTGAAAATTGTGATCAAAATTTATAAATATGGAATTTTTGGAACCCGAGAATATATCCATAAGCCCCCTCTTTCAGTATCACATCTTTTAGTTGAATAGAAAAATATGCTTTGCTACAATTCACTATTTCTCAAATTTTGTTTCATTGAAAGTTCTGGGAAAGTACTGGGTTAAATAAAATATAAGAGGATGTCTCAGAACTTTTAATATGTGAACAGCCTTATTAATGTCCTAAACAGTGATATAATATGCAGCAGTTTTTAGCCTTAATTGAATACAACGCTCTCCCTCCCTGACTCCCCAACTTCCTTCCTGTAGCAGAGACTTTACGATGGACTGCAATGATCACTGCCTCCCGACATTCGTTCATACAGCTGTGCAATTTGCTTCCCACAAGTGCAAGTGGAACCTGGAACTTACTTCTAAGCAGAATATGACAAAAGTGATTAGGTGTCATTTCTGTGACTGTGTTACATAAGATTGCAACTTCTATCTTGCTAATAGACTCAGTCTCTTGCCTTCTCCGCTGGCAGGCTGTGAAGCAAGTGGTCATACTGGAGAGGATCACATAGCAAGAAATAGAGGGCATCCTCCAGCCAACAACCAACTAGGAACTAAAAGGCCATAGTCCAACAACTTTTTAGGAACTGAATTCTGTTATCTAACTTGGAAGAAGATCCTTCCCAGTCAAGCCTCAGAAGAGACCTCAGCCCTGGTCAACAGCTTGACTGAAACCGGTGAGAGAGCCTCCAGCCAAGGACACAGTTACATTCTCTGCAGACTCTTACCCCACAGAAACTATGAGATAATAAATGGATATTTTCATAAGCTGCTATATTTTTATTTTTTTCACAACAATAAAAAAGTAGTCTTTAAAAAATTTATTTGACAAGGTCTCACTGTCACTCAGGCTGGAGTGCAGTGGCACCATCATCATGGCTCACTGCAGCCTTGACCTCCTGTCCTCAAGTAATCCTCCCACCTCAGACTCCCAAGTAGCTGGAACTGCAGGCACATTCCACCATGCCTAGTTTTTTGTGTTTTTTTGTTTGTTTGTTTTTGTTTTGTTTTGTTTTGTTTTCAGGGTCTTGTTATGTTGCCCAAGCTTGTCTCCAACTCCTGGACTCAAGCCATCCTCCCTCCTCAGCTTCCCAAAGTGCTGGGATTAGAGGCATGAGCCACCACGCCCAGCCAAGTAGTCTTTTAAAAATCCCCCCAAAACATCTTAGCATGGAAGGCAATTTGGAAAAGGCTGCTCTAATCTATGTAGCTGATTAAGATTTGTAGTCAAATTGAGATAGGCCTTCCCGTGAATATTTGGAAAAGTGAACTGTATATTCCATTCCAATTTAGAAATATAAAAAGAAATGTTCCTTCAACAAGAAAGATGAGATACTCGTAGATTCACTGAAAAGCATTTGCTAATATAAAACTAAAATATAAATGAAAGACAGATGAGAGATCTAGTGAATTAAGTTGGTTTATACTTTGCCAAGTTTTTCTCTTTTTCTACATTGAAGGTGTATTATTTTAAACATAATTAGCTTATTTTCAAAATATTATTTTGAAAGTTAGCAAAACTAAAATATTTAGGAAAATGTCTATCAGTCTTAAGCTCCATTATGAGTATATATTATCATTACTATCATTATTGTTGAATTAACAGGCTACACTTGGAATACTGTAATAAGTTCTGACTGAGACACCTTAATAAGCATAGAGCCTTAAGAGAAGGCTACTGGGAAATAGACAATTCTCCTAGCATTTCATAAGTAACATGCAAAGATCAAGTGAAGGAAGAATGCAACATGGAGTCTTAAATATCTGAATTTTGGGTTCCAGGAGAATCTGCATTAGAAATCTGCCTTTCATGTAGCTAACGTAATCATTAATATTAGTAAGTATAGAATTTTACACAGATATTTCCCACATGTACATTTAACAAAAATGATCCCCTACCCATCCACTAACCAAAAGGAAAAAAAGATAAATGAAACCCTATCATTCAACAGACAAGTCAACCAGCCTACATATGACTAGTAGCACACCAGAGGAAAACATGAAAATAAAAATTAAAATGTAGTCCAATAAATTGTGGTTTCTGGGGCCTGATTTGATGGCTTCAGCCAATTCTTAACCACAGTCCAAGAAGATTTAGTCAAACAACTTAATTCTTCTCTCATTCATAAAGTATGTGCCTGGCTCTGACTCTCTGGTTGCAACAAAAAGGGATCATCTAAGAAAGTACTCCCTTGTACTCCCTGTCTGGCTCATGGCAAGAAGAATCACTTTATCAGAAATTCGATAGTGTCATACAAAGCATGATGGGATAGGCAGGCTAACAAGCCCTTATATGAATTCAGCCTTTCACAGTCTAACAAAAAAAAAAAAAAGGGCCAGACACGGTGGTTCACACCTGTAATCCTAGCACTTTGAGAGGCTGAGGCGGGCAGATTGCCTAAGCTCAGGAGTTCGAGACCAGCCTGGGCAACACAGTGAAACCCCATCTCTACTAAAATACAAAAAAAATTTGCCAGGCATGGTGGTACGTGCCTATAATCCCAGCTACTCAGGAGGCTGAGGCAGGAGAATCACTTTGACCCGGGATGCGGAGGTTGCAGTGAGCCAAGATCACCCCACTGCACTCCAGCTTGGGCAACAGAGCGAGGCTCTGACTCTTAAAAAAATAAATAAATAAATAAAAGAACTTTTTATATTCACCATCTTAAAACAGTTACTATCCTTCTTTCATAGATAAAAATCATAGGGCCCGGAGAAATAGAGTCACTAGATCTTCATCACTGTGGAGCATATCAGACTAAGATAATCCCAGAAACTAAGCTTCCCGATTCCAGGTTTATTCAACATTGTTTCTACTATCCCTCTACTGACTCTGGAATCATATCCATCACAACCTTTAAAAATCTGGTGGGTGGGCTGAGCATGGTGGCTCAGGTCTGCAATCCCAGCACTTTGAAAGCCCGAGCCAGGTGGATCAACTGTGGTCGGGAGTTCGAGACCAGCCTGATCAAGATGGTGAAACCCCGTCTCTACTTAAAAAATAAAAATAAAAAAATTAGCCGGGCATGGTGGCATGCACCTGTAATCCCAGCTACTCGGGAGGCTGAGACAGGAGAATCACTTGAACCCAGGAGGCAGAGGTTGCAGTGAGCTGAGATCACGTCACTGTACTCCAGTCTGAGTGACAGAGTGAGACTCTGTCTCAGAAACATAAAATAAAATAAAATAAAATAAAATAAAATAAAATAAATCCGGTGAGTGAAAGGAGAATGGACAAGTGAGAGCAATGTTTTTTAGTGACGTACCATATCACGCATGTTTCATGGACTGAAGCCACTGTGGGATGTAAATAGCCCTGAGTCACCCCATCTTAATGCTTAGGAGCTGTCCAGTAGGAATAATACTAAATACTAAACACTATTAGGCATCCAGAGTAGATGACAATATCTTTGGGGAAGATGAGAAAAGCTGAAGTATACTTTATTCTGCGACACATGCCTCCCTGACATCCCATTTTAGTGAAATTAAGATATGAAAATGTTGCTGGGCGCGGTGGCTCATGCCTGTAATCCCAGCACTTCGGGAGGCTGAGGCGGGAGGATCATGAGGTCATGAGTTCGAGACCAGCCTGGCCAATATGGTGAAACCTTGTCTCTACTAAAAACACAAAAATTAGTCCAGTGTGGTGGCCCACACTTGTAGTCCCAGCTACTCAGGAGGCTGAGGCAGAAGAATTGCTTCAACCCTGGAGGCAGACATTGCACTGAGCCAAGATCATGCCACTGTACTCCAGCCTGGGGGACAGAGCAAGACTCCATCTCAAAAAAAAAAAAGATATGAAAGTGTTTTCTGGTTGGAAACTTTGTCTCTATCTGCAATTGTTCTTAATTTAGATCCTAATTAGGTATCTGATGACTGGACAACAGGCTTTTTAGTGGTGATATAATAAGAAATATGCTGGTCTTTATCACTTGTTTCTGGCACAGAACTCCTAAATCCCTTGGAATTTCCCAAGGGATAAGAGTGTCCATTTTTACTCATAATGAGATCCTTTTCATCACACTTAAGCTTATGCCGATGAGGTGAATTAGGGTAGGGACCCTGAAAAGACTCAGAATGGGGCTGGTCACCAGAAAGACCAAGTGATTAGGAAAGTGAAACCTTAGCCCCACCCACAGGCCTCTGGGAAAGGAGTTTGGGGCCTGCAGATCAAGCTCTATAAAAACTCTTGAACAACAAGATTTGATGAGCTTCTAGGTTGCTGAGCGCGCGGAGATGCTGGGAGGGTGGTTTGCCCACGGAGGGCATGCTAGCTCCTCCTCCTATCCCCCCATACCTTGCCCTATGTACCTCTTCATCTAGCTGTTCATCTGCATCCTTTGTGATAAACCAGTAAACACAGGAGTTCCCCTGAGTTCTGTGAGATGCTCTAGCAAATTAACCTAACCCAAAATCAGGATCACGGGAACACTGGTTTGTAGCTGGTCAACAAGAGGTTGGTCAGAAGTACAGGTAACATCTTATACTTGCAATAGGCATCTGAAATGGGAGTAGTCTTGTGGGCTAAGCCCTTAACCTGTGGGATCTGACACTATTTCCAGACAGTGTCAGAACTGAATTGGATTATCTCACACTCAGTTGCTATCCACTGGAGAATTACTGGTGCGTGTGGGTGAAACCTCACACATACCTGGCCACAGAAGTATTTTGTATTGAATATGAGAGTGTGGTAGGCAAAAAAGTTTGTTTGTTTTTCCTTCAGACCAGTAGTTTCCCAGAAAACATTCCATCCTACAATCCATTAGCCACTTCGACCTAGACAATTCTGTAGAAGTGGTAGATTTGGGTAGCCCAATTAATCATGATCCTTCTCCATCACATGTAGTCTTCTGTCCTGCTCTTCTATTAACCTTCCAGCCGGTTGCTGGACACCAGATTCCCTGGTAGCCAGGGGGAAAAAAATGCTTTGAAATCTGGCAACTGTCCTGGAGTTTCCCAAACATTTACAGCAATGTGTTGGCTTATTGGCATGAACTTCCTGGGTGATTTCTCAGCCTAAAAGGCAACATGAACTCTGGCTGACCATGAAGCTCTCTGGCATTTGTAAAACAGCTTGGGCTTTGTGGCTGCAAACTGAGGTCCAGGTCAGATTAGATGAGCATATTATCCTGTTTACTGCTTCAAACTGACTTGGAAGCTAAGGAAGGAAAGGGATGGGAAATGTGAGAGTTGTAGGGAGCCAAAAGTTTTCAAATCAGAGGAATGTGCTGACAAGGTCTCCTGGGGAAAGAAGTACTGTACTTCTTCCCAATGCAGCATTTTGAAAGCCTCTTGTTGTCTTGCAATTATTTAATCAATAGGTGATACATTTTTGTTACTACACAATTCTGTTTCATGCAGCACGTGAAGAAGAGAAAATGGGATTTTGGGTCAAAGGTCTGGGTTCAAGTGTCTGTTCTGAGCTTCTGAGACTTTAGAGAAGTCACTAACTCTTCCTACATGAGATGCTGTTTAGTATTAAAATAGTGTGCAAATAAATAAATTGTGTGCAAATTTGCTGGGAAATCATAAAACATATGGAAATAATAATTGTTAAGAATTACTACTGCTGTTAGCATTACTATTGTTAATAGTTTTTATTAATCTAACAATGCTTGGCTCTACTTAAAAACTGTTTTCGGCAACATTCCACCTGTGTCCCCACTAATTTTCATCTTACATGAGTAGGCACATAATGTTCCCTTGCTTCATCTCTGTGCCTTTGCTCAGTTTCTTTTAACCACTAGAATGGTTCCCTCTACATCCATGCATCCTACTACATTCTGCTTTCTCTGAAGGCCCTGCTCAGATCTACATGTTTCAAGCATCTAAGGTTAACTAATCTAATATCCCATGTGGCTGGTCTCCTCTCCAAGTTCCTCTGATATACAGTCTGTCCCACACTACCTAGCTCTTACTGACTGTGTAACAGAAGTAAGCCATAGGAAATTGCTAAGCCTCCGGTATTCTGAGAATGGTGATGACCATGCAAGATTCCTTGGGAAACAGACCAGGGAGTGAATTTGGAGGCTTTTTTTCTTTCTTTCTTTCTTTCTTTCTTTTGGAAACCTACGATAATAATACACAAATCTAAGACATTCTTTTTCTTTTTGTAATCTTGCTTTCAGACTACTAGGGAGTGTAGTAGTTTAGTCCTATTCTTTATTTTCTAGAGAAAGTGGGTTCTTCCTTGATCTGGAAAAGAACTGGTCAAGCCCCGTCTTCCCCTTCCCCTCCTTTATAGAGTAAAAGCCCACAGCTACTTACCTTCTCTTAGGTCTCGATCTATCTTGGGTGATAACTTTTTTCCCATTGACAATCCGTGAACTTCTGCTCCCTCTACATTGACCCCTGAAGGGACCCTGCGCATTCAAAAAATTTAAAATGGCAATTTGTCATTGAAAAACGATGCTCAAAGGCAAAGAATACTTTACCCAGGTAGTCTATGACTCTAAATTGTGTATTTTGTTGTACACAAGTTCACCAGTCTTTTAAAGTCAAATTAAATGTCACTGCCTCTATGAAGTTCTCTATTTCCTCAGTGAGTTTGCCTTATTTCACTCCTCTTCTTAGCAACCTTTATTACAATTAATTGTATTCATAATGTAACCCTCTTCAGATTAGTCTCTAATCTCAAGTAGGAAAAATTTATCATGCGCATCTTTATAATGCTCAGAGTGTCCAATGGGGCCTGGAACATGGAGTGCATCATTGAACAATTGTTGGATTGAAATCAATTATGTCATAATGTAGTAGTTTTTGACTATTGTGAGAAAGAAGACTCAGGTTTGTCATTTGCAAATGCACAAATGATAGCAGGCTGTCCTTTATATATGTAAAAATCGAACAAATCCAAATGTGTATATACATTCTTGGATCTCTTGAAGTTATCTTATGCCACCGAAGGATTGAGTTTTTGAAGCCTAGTGAAAGACCTCAAGATTCTAAGAAGCAGATCTGGATCTGTCCTTCCTTTGTGATGAGACTCTAAGCAGGTTGCTTGCCTTGTCAGGACCTCAGTTTCCCAATTTGAAAATCAATAAGCTGGACCATGTGATCTCAAGCAGGTGTTTCTAACCTTCTGAGTTTCAGTTCTTTAAAAGATGTAAATTGACTTTTGTCACCTTAAATAATGAGCTTTCTTGATTTCTGATTCAGTTAGTGACACCTAATATTTTAGCTTGCAGTGTAACTTTCTGAACTTCATTATTTCAAGTAAATACGGTAAGGGAATTCACCATCAAAAAACCCATTTCATAGTTTTTTCTGTTAATAAATCAAAAACAATATCCAATCTTCTCAGATTTGGAATCATGGAATGTTAGCACATAGAGATTGCCTGATTTAACTCTTTTTTTTCTGGAAGGAAGGAAAAAAAAAAACATGAGACCCAGAAAGCAGAAGATATATTACCTAAGGTTACAAAAATGTGGCAGGAAGAGCTGGGACCCGGCTGCAGAACTCCTAACTCACAGCTTACAATTATTTTACTATATCCCCTTGCCTATTTCATAGAGCTACACTTCTCTATGATAGGTTATGATACTAAGTATTTCTCTTCATAAAAAAACCAGTTTGTATTCTGAATGGACTTACCGATTCTCATCCTGTCGTCCTCCATACCTGATCCAATAATTCTGTTTTGAATCGATTAAAAAAAATGCAGGAATTTTGTCACTAAAACATCACTTACAGAATTAAGGTAAAATAAAATATGCACAAAACATTCAAAAGATCTATAATTTAGGAATTTTGTATATTGTGTAAAGATACAATATATTTATATTTTATAGATTAATGCAAAAGAAGGCTAAAGTTAGTGGAGATTTGGCAAGGACAAAATGAAATACAAATCAATGTTTTAAATAGTATGGAATTAGCCTGGATATCCATCCTTTTGTCCAAGAAAGTGACTTGGAATTTGGTGGCAGAAAAACATTTCAAAGAGTATTCAGTTCAACTTCTTTATGTTTTCTGAATAAAACAAACAAACAAAATCCAGCCTGAATAATCATCTGCATATATCATGAAATTAGTAAACAACATATTCTAAGGTCTCTTGGATAACACAATTTTTAAAGAATAATAAGTAAGACCAGATATAAATATTAATATATTAGAAGGTGTTGTATTGGAAATAGTACATTAAAATTAACCCATTTTAAAAAGTGTGCCTATAAAAACATGACATAAGAAATGAAAAAAGGTTGTAAATGGACATATTATAAATAATTTTATAAATGTATTAACTTGTATATCATTTGAAGAACTTACATAGTAATCAATGGATAAATGAACAAAACCCATGGCCAAATAATTAAAAGAAGAGGAAAAATAGTTAATTCGTGAAAAGGTTTATTCTTGCTGGTCATCAAAAAATTATAAGTTAAAATGATGTATTATTTCATATATAATATATAAATAATAAAAGTGATTTTAAAATGTTATTTCTTACTGCTGATAAATTTGTGGTAAAATGGTACTTTTGTGCATTACTAGGATTCAAACGCCTGTTCAATCTGTTGTGAGGTATGAGACTTTAGAGGAGTCACTAAATCTTCCCACATGAGATAATGTTAGTATTAAAATAGCGTGCAAATAAATAATTCCAAGAGAATTATTTATTCTCTTAGTAATCATATATGAGTATATATATAATTGTAAATTAATAATAATTTCTAAGAGAATTCTCTTAGAAAAGCAATTTAGTTTCAAGAAATTTAAAACCTTATACCCTTTGATGACAGAATAATTCCACTCTTAGGAATTTATTTTAAGGACATAGTTCAATAGAGAAAAATGCTTAATGCATTTCGTATAATTCAAAAATCAGAAATAATTCAAATGTTCAGCAGAAGAGTTCATTTATTTATTGTACATCAATTCTACCTATCTAAAATTCTAAATTCTACCTACTTTTTAGATACTAAAATGTATCTAAAAATACCTTTTAAAGTTATACAAATGTAGAAATTTCTTATGATATCTTCCTAAATAAAAATCAGAATACAGATCTCTTTATACCATAGCATATGTTTCTGCAAAAGATAAGTCTTCATATAGACAATGATTAGAAGACAACATGAAAAAATGGGGTGAAGTCAGCATGATGGGTGGTAGGATTGTGACTGACGGTATTTTGAATTCTCTTTAATGTTTAGGTAATATACAAGCATTAAAAGAAAAACTAAAACACCAGATCTGGAATTTAGGAAAACGAAACACTCCCGGGGCAAATGAGTTACACACAAAACACTTTTACCCAATAGATTTGCTTTTGACTTTGGACCTCATTAACATGGAATGACAGATGTGGAAATCCATCAGTCTTTTAAAGTTCATCAGATATATTGAGTAAATATCTCCCACCCCTATTTTTACCTCAAGGAGGGCACGAAAATCTTAGCTTTTTGAGGTAAATGGCAAAAATGGAGGCAACTAATAAAAACATAAAAAGAATTCCACTGAGTCATTATTTTAATAAACATTTCATCTTTCCTCTTACCGGTTCAGTGTATGAAAACCCCAGACCTTCTGCAGCTGATTTGATCAGCTCAGATTCTAGCTTATGACGTTTCACAAACATTGTTAAATCCTAGAGAAAAATAAGTAAAGAAAGACATTTTTTATTTAAATAACAGGTAACAGATATGATAAATGTTCAGGTGGCAATATTTTCATTAGATAGTCACAAGTGAGCTAACAAACATTCAGAGTTGCAAGATATGACCCCATCTCAACATACTTTCACACGCTAGCATGTGTGAATAAAAATGTGCCTCCGGCGTAAATAAAATTTGAAAGAACTGAGTTCTAGAACCTTTGCTAAATTGTTAGATATCTTTAAGACCAGGGTTACATTTTTGTCACCTCTTCCCAGAACACATGCAGAATCAAGAATTTCTTTTCAAAACATTGGTCTCACCTCTCTGGCCTCAATGGATGCTGGGTCAATGCTATCATCCAGCAGACTCTCATAGTAATCCACATTGTCTAGGACATCCTCGTCATCTGGGTGGCACAGAAGATAGGCTTTGGCACATTCCAGGGCTTTCACATACTCACCAACTGAAAGACAAAGGAGTTGCAGCATTAGAGTCAGCTTAGGTCTGTCCAAAGGATTTTAAAGGGAGGCCATCAACATGTCTACAGAAGTCAGCATTAAACATGGATAAGAGGGAAGATAAATTGAGGCTCAGCAGAAAAAGCAGGAACAGTCACAGATAAAAGAAAAGACATTATTTCAGGTATTCAAAAGTTATTACCTTTGGTCTGCTTTGGTGCTAGTTGTTTTGCACAAATTACCAAGTTTTTATCTGAAGATGTTTGTTGACAACTTTTATTCTTTAACACAGATAAACAGAACTGTATGAGTTAATTCTGATTTTTGTACTGAATTTGGGTTAAGTAAACATCCAGAAGATGACCTTTGCAACAGTAATGTACCATTTTGTACATAACGTATGAGTAATGTAAGTGCTTTTAAAATGTTATTTTTCATGGCTGCAGTTTGTGATAAACTGGTACTTTAATGTAAAGTCCTTCATAGAGTCCCAGATGTTCTGGAGGAAGCCCCTCAAATCCCTCACTATACAATTAGAGCAAATCCAACAGTAGCAAACTACTAAAAGGAACTAACAAGGATGTTTCCAATATAAACTTTTCATTACAGAAATATTTAGCTATTACAAGGGAAATTGTAAATGTATGCTTTGTTTTGAAAAATGTCACAACACTGGATTTCTTCTAATGGAAATTTACAATATATGTATGTGTGTATATATATGTGTGTGTGCGTGCGTGTATGTGTATAAATACATATAAATACATGTATGTGTTTGTATTTATACACACATACATGCGTGCACACACACACACATATATATACTGAGACGACCCTGATTTTTAAAAAGAATGATAAAAATTAAGCAACTCTCTCAACTTTGATTCACTGTTTATGACTTCAGCACATGATTCATTGTGTGCCATCAACACCAGGATAATAAATAATGTTTTGTTTTGGGGAAGGAAGAGGATTTTGCAAAGTTCTTTTTAAATTGAGTTAAGAAATATTAAGTCTAAAAAATCATGCAAAATGTCAATCTAGTATAATTTTCAGTAAATTATCACAGCATTACATTTTGTACTTTGCCCATTGGTGATTTCCCCTTCTGCTCTTCTTGTCCTGCGGCTCAGGAGAGAAGAAATGCATACATTCCTATTGCTTTGATAATAAACTGAAGAAGTCTGGACGCTAAATTACAAAAATGTGATGTCTGTAGTGACGAACCACAACCCCCCAAGAAGTCTTCACAGATGATCCACGCTTTACCTCGATAGTAGGCAAACTGTAGGTAATCATAGTGCAGAGGAAGAAAATTCTCAATGGGTGAGAGGCGGCCAGGGCGGGTGGCAAGTTCCCTCACACATTCATGCTGACAAACAAGCACCTGCATGTAGTGATCTGGAAGACAAGAGCCAACACATGTGTTCCTCCAGGCTGCTGAGTCCCCAAACGTCAACGTCACAGTCACAGTGACACAGGGCATTCCTCACCTCACCACACTCGGAGAGCAAAATTACCCTAATCCTCACTTCCGGACTGCAAAACCTTTTTACAAAGAAAGTAGTTGACCTGCCAAGGTCTCCTGATCAGTGATCACTAGAACAACCACAGATTCCAAATCCTCTATCTAGCTCACAGTCTGTTCTCTGTACCTCACTCTTCCCTTCCCATGCACACTCTTTATACCCCACAGTCCACTTTCCCCCACCTACACCCAGCTGAATGTCATTTTCATATTTCACAACTTTGGGGCCCCTCTTTGGATATCTTAGATGGTTCGAAGGGCCCTGGAAGTGGAAATGGAAGTTCAGATGCTAGGAAATGTTAAGGAACAGTTCGGAAAAAGAAACAACCACGAATGTGGGAAATTCAGGCTGAGAAGTGAAGCAAAAATGCTCTTTTTCTTTGTTCACATTTTCAAGCCAATCTGTCCTAAAGGAGAAATAAAAACTCTCTTTTTGTTTTTTACGCCTATTGGTCAGAAACCTATTCTACACAGTTATAAATTAGTCTATTGCCTAGACATTGTATATTCGAATATTAGGGATATTGTATATTCTTTACCAGAGACTGGTAAACTAGGAAGAAGGATGAAAGGAATTTAAATGAGCATTTTATTTCCTATTTCTCTTCACTCCCCTTTCTGTCGCTCCCATTCTTCTTGCTGCAGGGTCCTGAAGTGTTGGGGTTTGCATGCCCCCTTTGGCCCTGGACTCTATCTTATCAAAGCCTGAGATGAGGAAACACAAGTGGTGAATGTCCCAGAGAAGAAAATGCCTCCTACGTTTCATCTTGACTGATTTTTACAATGAAGATGGATGTATTTTCCAGAAAGAATAGTTCCTTCATGCCTGTGCTGAGTGTGTTCTTTTGAGGATGATGATAAAATCATTTGATCTCATAGCTGTGCAATTTAATTTACCACAACTGCCTTTTTTTCAAAAGGTTCCCTGTGTAGTCTGAGTTTGGCTTGGATCTTGATGATTTTGCAGAGGGACCCCGAAACACAACAGGAAGGAAATGTGCATTTTCTGGTGTGGGGCAATGTGCCAGTTTTGCATAACTTGGCTAACTGAATGATTTATAGCACAGCTCATAGAATCCCTAAAGCCCACTGGTTATTAACCCCAGTCCAGGGGATGTGAAGGAAGAATGAGTTCTATTTATTTGATTAGCATGTTAGAAATAAATAACCAGCTGTTTTATTTCTTAAGAAAACAAAAACAAACAACCTTCAACTGTTTTCTCCTCCTCAACTTACCATTTGCATTTCTATTTACTTTCTAATACACATTCCTTTTAATTCCAAGTGACAAGCAAAAGGTAAAGGTGAAAGATACCCACCAAGAACTCAAAATCTGAATGGGAATATTTTTTCAAAGTGGATATAAATAGCAGCAAAACAGGAGTGACAGAAACGTATCCTTTAGGGTTTCACAGCAGGGCTGGTAATAAATAACCGCATTCAGGAGCCATTTGTATTTTTCCCCAACTGTTAATGTCAAACTCTAAAATTCAAATATTCTGATTTTCTAATACATTTGCTATTTAAAAAGCCAGTTTTATTCCTAATTTAGGACAATTTTGAACCAGACAAGAATTTATATAGTGAGAACTGTCATATTACTTTTATTAGGTATATCCCTTGCCTTCTTTATATCTTAAATGACACTGTGCAATTAATATGTTTTTAATAAGTTTGAGCCTTAAAAATTAAAGAACCTGAGTTATGAGATCTCTATTCTTTTCCAGTTACCAACATGCTGTGGTGACCTTGAGCAAATCACTAAATGCTCATCTGTGGGAAATCGTCGGTCAATCTTCCTAAACCAGATCTAGGACATTGGCCAAAACTGTTCAGTGGCCATTGGTAGAAGCAGCTGTAGAGGCCAATGTGGGAGTAAAAGCAGGATGCATATCCCACCACAACCACAACATAGTTAACTATAATAAAGGAAGAATCTGCCGTTTCCAAATACAAGATCAAGTGTAGAGAAATAGCAATTAACAGGTGAACCACACATAAAACTGACATTCCAAAAATTTAGGCAACTGGATCTTGCAGAGATCCAAAAGAAAACAAAACTTTTGGGAAAATATCCTCAGTAACTGAGATCGTTGTATTGAATTTAGGTGAACTGAGTTGATTTTGAGTAACTGGGTGTGACACAAATTGGTCATTTGACATATTAATTTTCAGTCTACTTCCTAGTCTAATTTTTGATAGCTATAACCTAATTGTCTCTATAAGAAACCTTAACAGTAATTCTTAACAATAATTCTAAACCTAGATTCTCATAAACATGGAGTATTTAACCATTTTAATCCCTGCTATGCGATTGATGGCTATGTCATCTCCTTCCTTCCTTCATTCATTAATCAACCCATTCATTTAACCAGTATTTACTAAGTACCTACTACAGTCACTCTTCTTAGGCACTGAAGATTGAGCACTAAACAGGACAAGCCTTTAGCCAAGAGATAGAGGAAAACAACACTTTGAAGATCTGTAAGTGGAAATGAGCATGGCATATTTAAGGAATCAAAAAGCAAGAGGGAGTGTGAGAGGGAGAGAGAATGAATGAAAACATACACACGTGCCCAATCATGGAAGTTCTTATTAAAGAATTGGATTTTAGTAGAGATGGGGTTTCACCATGTTGGCCAGGCTGGTCTCAAACTCCTGACTTCAGGTGATCCACCTGCCTCGGAATCCCAAAGTGCTGGGATTACAGGCGTGAGCCACTGCTTCCAGATGA